TAGACCTTCTTTGATCTTGCTGGAGCTGATTGTTCGCTGAGTCCTTGCCATTTTGGCTATTCCTCAATCCATTCGAATGGTAGTTTTTCGCTTTCTTCCACGTCTTTCAGGTTAAAGCATTTGCGATCATTTTAGCTGAGCAGCCTATCATTTTCTGCACTTCTTTAGATGTTTTCCCCTCTCCAATAAACGTTTTAATCAAGGTACGCTGTGCTTCTGAACAATGTCTGGAATGACCCATTTTCCTCAGAATTTCAGAGAGAAATGCACTGTAACCAGCATGTACAACATGAGAATGAATGAGAATGAATGACCTCACTAATAGAACTCCACACTACTATTATTTTGAACATGCCCCTTTCAATTAGTGATTCAATTACACAGAATCAGCAGCATGCATGTCATAACTCTTGGGTCTGTTGGATTTCTATTACTCTACTACACCTGCTAGTAAATTATTTGCCATGTAGAAATATCATTTCTACCAAAAACAGTGAATGATCAGGTTAGTGATGTCTGACTGCTATTATTTTGAACACAACTGTACATCCAAATCAGGTGAACGGTGTAGGAATTACAACAGTTTGCATATGTGCCTCCCACTTGTTAAGGGACCAAAAGAAATGGGACAGAATCATAAATCAAACTTTCACTTTTTAGTACTTGGTTGCAAATCCTTTGCAGTCAATTACAGCCTGAAGTCTGGAACGCATAGACATCACCAGACGCTGGGTTTCATCCCTGGGGATGCTCTGCCAGGCCTCTACTGCAACTGTCTTCAGTTCCTACTTGTTCTTGGGGCATTTTCCTTTCAGTTTTGTCTTCAGCAAGTGAAATGCATGCTCAATCAGATTCAGGTCAGGTGATTGACTTGGCCATTGCATAACATTCCACTTCTTTCCCTTAAAAAACTCTTTGGTTGCTTTTGCAGTATGCTTTGGGTCATTGTCCATCTGCACTGTGAAGCGGCGTCCAATGAGTTGTGAAGCATTTGGCTGAATATGAGCAGATAATATTGCCCGAAACACTTCAGAATTCATCCTGCTGCTTTTGTCAGCAGTCACATCATCAATAAATACAAGAGAACCAGTTCCATTGGCAGCCATACATGCCCACGCCATGACACTACCACCACCATGCTTCACTGATGAGGTGGTATGCTTAGGATCATGAGCAGTTCCTTTCCTTCTCCATTCTCTTCTCTTCCCATCACTCTGGTACAAGTTGATCTTGGTCTCATCTGTCCATAGGATGTTGTTCCAGAACTGTGAAGGCTTTTTAAGATGTCGTTTGGCAAACTCTAATCTGGCCTTCCTGTTTTTGAGGCTCACCAATGGTTTACATCTTGTGGTGAAACCTCTGTATTCACTCTGGTGAAGTTTTCTCTTGATTGTTGACTTTGACACACATACACCTACCTCCTGGAGAGTGTTCTTGATCTGGCCAACTGTTGTGAAGGGTGTTTTCTTCACCAGGGAAATAAGTCTTCGGTCATCCACCACAGTTGCTTTGCGTGGTCTTCCGGGTCTTTTGGTGTTGGTGAGCTCACCGGTGCGTTACTTCTTTTTAAGAATGTTCCAAACAGTTGTTTTGGCCACACCTAATGTTTTTGCTATCTCTCTGATGCGTTTGTTTTGTTTTTTCAGCCGAATGATGGCTTGCTTCACTGATAGTGACAGCTCTTTGGATCTCATCTTGAGAGTTGACAGCAACAGATTCCAAATGCAAATAGCACACTTGAAATGAATTCTGGACCTTTTATCTGCTCATTGTAATTGCGATAATGAGGGAATAACACACACCTGGCCATGGAACAGCTGAGAAGCCAATTGTCCCATTACTTTTGGTCCCTTAACAAGTGGGAGGCACATATGCAAACTGTTGTAATTCCTACACCTTTCACCTGATTTGGATGTAAATACCCTCAAATTAAAGCTGGCAGTCTGCAGTTAAAGCACATCTTGTTTGTTGCATTTCAAATCCATTGTGTTGGTGTATAGAGCAAAAAATGTTAGAATTGTGTCGATGTCCCAATATTTATAGACCTGACTGTATACCCCAAGGATCTGGGTGAACTGGGGGTCCCAGACTTCTGAAAATATTACACTGCAACACAAATTACACAATTATGTCACCTACACTATAGCCATTATAGGCCTGACTGGGTGTCTACAGAGGCCCGAGCTTGCTCCCCACTGCCCATAGACCTGGTGCTCTGGCTTACCTCAAAATACCGTAAGGCCATTATGCACCTGCTAAACTCTCCCATGCTATTGGCCTGAGGGAATCGACATGTAGACAATGGCCTCTCTGCTTTCCTCACACTGCTGTCGTATCCCTTTTCAAACACCCTCAATTTCCACCTTGTCCATTCACCTACTCATTTTAGCTGCTGGATGAACAAGGTGCTCTACCATATGGGACATTTTCTTGATCATAGAGGTTTACGCCCTCATATTTTGTATAGGATTTGGAGATGCCCCCGTCTGAGAATTTCCATTTACAACAAATACACCAATTTTTATGTACTCTACAGAAGAAAATCCCTGATCTTGCAATTTAAACACAGTTTGAAAACATATGTATAAAAGGTGACTCTTCGGCGTGATTGCATCTCAATGTTGTACAAATCCTTTGTTTTCCCCTCGTCAAAACTTTCTGATCAAATAGCTTGGGAGAGGGACTTAGGCATAGCCCGAGGCGGAGGATTGGCGAACCTGAACTGCACGTATACACAAGGGCATTATGAATGTTGCTCTGAATGAGGCAGAGTACAAAGTGTTAAGTTGGTACCTGGTGCCTGAACGCCTTTCTAAAATGTACACTGGTAAGTCACCCTCCTGTTTCAGGGGTTGTGGTCAGGGATATGGGTTCATTCCTTAATACACTCAGTTACTATGGTCAATATTCCTAAAAACAAGCTCTGCTCAACAAACCTGTGGAAAATATCTCGAGATCCACACAGATTTTAATGTATTATGTTTTTCTGGCGGCTAAAATCGCTATCACTACTGCTTGAAAATGAATAGTGATTGACTTTGCTTCAACAAATCAAAAGTCAACTTAGATTTTGTTGCATGAAAAAATTGTCAGTGTTCTGTCGGATAAACAATCTTTGTTCGACAAGGTATGGACCCCCTGGTTCTCTTATTTGCAGGTACTGGACACTTAAGGTTGCCACTGGATTGATGACCTGCTGGATTCATGGCCTGACATACCCTTGCTATCTTACCTTCTTCTCTTATTTTCTCCCAAATTCACTCAGCACTAGTTATTTCTCATGACAGTGCACATTGGTGTTTCTTATATGGGGTTTTGGAGATAACCTTTCTATTGTCTTAGAAATATATATATTTTTTTTCTAGTATTTAAGGATGTATTTTAGTATTTTAACCACCCACTGTAACTTTATTAGTACAGCGTGGCCATGCTGTGCTGGATCACATATATATACATATGATCCAGCAGTACTGGGTATGGGGTGCACGCAAACCCGCTGCCCCAGATGTGCTGTCATTCGCTACAGCACAAGCTGATCAGGGGTCCCAGCCAATGATTTATGGGCTTGACCCGCTGAGCAAATGAAAGAAGAGAGCCTTGTGTTGGTACTTTTTTTTTCTCCCTGCAAAGTGGGGAGTAAAAACAGGCACATGGCTCAGTAAAAGCAGCACATATTACACTCAGTAAACATTGTCAGGCTCACAGTTAATCATATGATTGCCCCTAAAATGTTAACCCCTTCCCAGCCAATACCATTAGTACAGTGACAGTGTACAGTATTAGCATGGATTAGTGTCATTGGTGGTGTCAGTCAGTTCCCACAAAGTGTCAGTTAATGTCAGATTGCTCACTGCACTATTACAGTCCCACTATAAAAGTCGCTGATCTCTGCCATTACTAGAATAAAAAAATAAATAAAAATTCCAGTATATATACCTAGTATGTAGACGCTGTAACTTTCACGCAAACCAATGAATATACACTTATTGGGATTTTTTTTTCTTACCAAAGACATTAAGCAGAATACATTTTGGCCTAAATGTACTAATTATTTAGATTTTTTAATTTTTTTTATTGGATATGTTTTATAGTAGAAAGCTAAAAAAGAGAGTTTTTCAAAATTTTCAGTCTTTTCTCATTTATAGCACACACACACACACACACACACACACACACAAAACAGTGAATCAAATACCACTAAAAAAAAAAAAAGCTTTATTTGTGTGAAAAAAAATTATATAAATTCTGTTTGGGTACAGTGTTGCATGAACGCGCAATTACCAGTTAAAACAGCGCAGTACTAAAAAGCAAAAAATGGCCTGGTCATGAAAGGAGCTCAAGTGGTTAAGATACTTCTAAGATAAAGTGAATACACTTTTCCAGGTTCAGTGACCGTATTACACAACTAGTCCTTGCATCAACCTAACACTGTGAGCAGATTTTATGTTCACAATACTCTATTAACTCTTTCAACCACATATTCTATGCTTACCTACTACATTAACCATTTAAGCCCTGATGGAGGAGGAATTCACGAGCCCACAAAACTAACTGACTCATATCATACATGCAAGTAACTGTTGTTTCTGGCCCCCATAAACCAATGTGGCACTCTCTTTGTCCCCCTTTGTATTGATTCCAAAGCACCTCTTTGTGTTCCTTTTATTCATGGGGCTGTCTTACCAGAGACATTTGGGTTTATTTACTAAAACTGCACGGTGAAAAATCTGGTTCAGCTCTGCATAGAAATCAATCAGCTTCCAGGTTTTATTGCCAAAGCTTAATTGAGCAAGCTGAAGTTAGAAGGTGATTGGCTACCATGTACAGCTGCACCAGATTCAGAGTGCTCCAGTTTTAGTAAATCTACCCCAGTGTACTCTCCACCATAGACTTTGTATTCCACTGGGATATCTAAAACTGATGTTTGGATCCAAAGCCTCCAATCTGCACAAAATGATACTGTGACTAGAGAGCAGCTTATCATAATATATCATACTTACCGTGTGTGATGTGTCAGGATATGCAGGATACTTCCAGTTTTCTGAGAAATAATAATCGGATGATATTAGGATGTGACCTTACTCATGTGCATGTAAATAGAATGTCACATTTACATAAAACAAATTACACTGACATCCCCCTAGTAATATGGTTTTTTTAATTTACTGTAATTACATGACCACACATATGCAATTTTAGGCATTTAAAATTATCTATAGAAATTTCTCTTTACAAAGTGTGCTCTTTAAAAAGGAAAACTCCACTAAAGGTCATTGAAGTGGTTTGAGGTGGGGGAGTGTGTACTGGGCTTTCATGTCTCATACTACCAGTGTGAAGTCATCAGAACTAAAGGCAAAACTTTTTTTTTTTTTCGTTTTCGACCGAGTGGAGAGGGGTTAGAATACCTGCCAGGATTTATTCACTGCCTGTGACTCCATTAGGGAGATTACCCCTATTTGTCCTGTTTATCTTTAAACATGAAAGAAAATCCCAAATTTCGGGATGTCACCAGACAAGTAACAGAATGACAGTCTTCCAATGAGGACACTCATTCTAGTGACTTTGGTGACCACCAGGAATACCCTAACTTAGGAGGGATTTCCTCCCACTTACTGTTTTGACCAGGGGTGGACTGACAACTCATGGGGCCCCTGGGCAATAGGGGGATCATGAGGCCCCTGTGTCCTTGCCCAAACTCAAAAAAGCCTATGAAAAAGGTACCAGGGGCATCTCATGGGGCCCCATACTGACCCCGGGCCCTCGGGCACTGCCGAGTTTCCAAATGGTCAGTCCGCCCCTGGTTTTGACTATGGGGCAGGACGTGAAGGGAATCTCCCTAATGGGACACAGATGGCCAAAAATAAATGGACTGGTGTTATAGCCCTCCTTAATCCAAAACAGAAAAAAGAACTGCCCTAGTTCTACTTCAGAGTTTCCTCTGTTATAACATCACAGATTTTTAATGCACCCAGACAAAGCTACTTGACACCATTTGAAGCAGCCAGGGTGGTACTTTAGCAGTTCAATGGAATAAAAATCACAGAGGTGTCAGTGACATTCGGCACTCACTTCACCCTACTCCACTAATTCACTTTCCTCGATTCGCTTTTCCTCCACGGATTGGCACCAGGAAAGGAAAAATACAGTAAGTATTTGATAAATTTTCCATTATTGGTAGAATTGCCTTTTGACAAATGATGGAACTTACAAAGTGTAATACTTACGGTGGAAAAAATTATAACAGATTTGTCCACAGACCTAAAAAACAAATATAGAAGCAATTGATTACCTTTCAAAGATCTCATGCACACAGACAGAAAACTGATTTTAGAGGTATTTTTCCTTTTTTATACCCCTGAATGCTGCTCTATTTTAGCCGATGCGTTCATACACATTGGATTTGTCTGGCAACATTATGGTCCCCGGTTCGAATCCCAGCCATGACATTATCTGCCTGGAGTTTGCATGTGCTCACTGTACATGCATGGGTTTCCTCCAGTACTCTGGTTTCCTCTCCACACTCCACAGACATGCTGGTAGGTTAATTGGATCCTGTCTCAATTGGCCCTAGTATGTCTATGTATGAATGTGAGTTAGGGACCTTAGATTGTACACCCCTTGAGGGTTAGGGACTGATGTGAATGTACAAACATATATGTAAAGTGCTGCTTAAATTGAAGTGCTATATATGTACCTGAAATAAATAAATAAAATAAATAAATTTATTTCAGAGCAGCATACAGATGCATAAGAATAAAATAAATGCTCCAAACCTTTGTTTGGAGAGGAGCATATTGGTGTAATTCACACACATACATGTATAAACATGTATATTCATTCTAATGACTAGAGAGAACACATATTCTAGCCAAGAGAATGAGTTTAAGCACATATACAGTCGCACAAAATATGACCGTTCCTAACCCCGGAAACCACTAAGCAACTCATTCACTCCCTTATCATATCACGACTTGACTACTGTAACTCCCTCCTCATCGGCTTACCTCACCGCAGGCTATCCCCACTTCAGTCCATCTTGAATGCTGCGGCCAGACTCCTCCACCTCACAAACAGCTCCGTATCCACCACCCCCTCTGCCAATCCCTTCACTGGCTTCCGATTGCCCAACGGATAAAATTCAAAATGCTAACACTGACGTACAATGCTGTTCATAATACTGCCCCAAACTACATCACCGATCTGGTATCCAAATACCACCCAAAACGTACTCTCTGCTCCTCACAAGACCTCCTACTCTCTAGTTCCCTCGTCTCCTCCTCCCATGCCCGCCTCCAGGACTTATCCAGGGCTTCCCCCATCCTCTGGAACTCCCTACCCCAATCCATCAGACTAAAACCTACTCTCCTCACCTTTAGGCGCACCGTGAAAACCTATCTCTGCAGAGAAGCCTACCCCGCCCTCAGCTAATTACTGAACTCCTCCACTCTTCCTACCACTTCATCCCCCACAGTTGTTTCCTCCTGTACCACTATCCCCTCCCTCCTAGATAGTAAGCTCCAAGGAGCAGGGCCCTCGAACCCCTCGTGTACGGAATCATATTGTTATTGTACTGTCTCGTGTATTGTCTCCCATTATAATGTAAAGCGCTGAGCAAACTATTGGCGCTATATAAATCCTGTATAATAATAATATATGCTTCTAATCTTCATGATTCTGAAAGCCAGGGTAACTCTAGTAGGCACACAACTGATCAAGACTAATGCAAATTACAAAGAAAACATTTCCACCAGCCACTCCACCCCCACTACTGTCTACTGGAAACAAGGGCAAGAGGCTACAGTCTCAGCCAGGAGTCCTTTTAAAAACTCTGCTTAATCAGGAAATTAGATTTGTATAAAATGGATTTAGATACATTCTGCTGGTAAAAAAAAAAAGATGAAAAATTCCAATACAATGCAAAGACAAAGCCTGCAGATTCCTGGTTATAGCAGTAAAAACAATGTTTTTCTAAATATATTTATCCAGACTAATGTCTTGTATATTCTTCCCTACTGTTTTTTCATGACATTCCCAGCGAATGACATCATGACTTCATAAACCAGCACACAGGCAAAGTATAATGGGAATGATCAATTGTTTGCAGCCCTCTAGTGTCACTTTTGGAGAATTACAATAAGATGATTGTTACCCAGAGACGATGGTCTGACCATCACTGGAAAAGGCACAGGAAAGGACAGGGGCGTGTGTCCACTCAGTGTCAGTTTGCATCGCATTTCCAAGCCTATAAAAGAAAAGAAAATCTATAGACATGCTTATTTTTATTAAGTCCTCCATTTTCAGTAAAAAAAAATAAAAATGTAACCCCAACAGTGTGGGACTATTGTTTTAATGTAGAAGCCTCCTTTAATACTCCAACCTTTTACAGTGTATAGACAACCTAATGAACTGCCCTTATTTGCTCCCTTTTGGTTTGTTACCTGTATTAGTGAAAATGTTTTTTTTTTTTTTTTTTAGATCTTTGAGAAGTTTAAAAAAAAAGAAGAAAAACTGTTGTTCCTACCAGAAATCCTGTGCTGTCCTGTGCAGTGTCATCTCATGTAGTCTTATTACCCCTGCCCAGTCCAACTCAAGTATAACAACACTGCTCCATAACTGATATAAAACCAGTCACAGTGAACGTTGTCACCCAGGTAAAGTAGCGTGGTGTTGGATGAACAGGTGAGAATAAATTAAAAAAAAGAAAACTAATGCAGCCACCACATCTAAGGGCAGGCAAGATGCAATATATTACCTTTTGTTCTTGGGTTTAAATATGCTGTAATTTTTTTTTTTTTTTTTATGGTAAACATTCACTACATCCAAATGTCATATTTCAATTTTGAGTGCATGTCGATGACCTGAAACATCTTCTAGCTTTTATAACTGTTAGGGAATGTGACAACTTGATCTCTCTACTTCATTTATGGTCCCCGTTCCCACAGCAACCAACTACACAAGGGCATTATAATTGTGCTATTCTCATACCGTTGGATTCCAGTTATTAAAATGGATCTAAACCCCAAAACAGAAATGTGTTATATTGCAGTTTACCAATCCTTAGATGTAATGGCTGCATTGTTTTTTTTAGGCTTTTTTCCCCCTCTGTTTTCACCTGGTGGCCTTGTCAGTAACACATTTCTGATCTTAGGGTGGTTACTGTCTCTGGAGAAACAGCGGAGACACCCTTGGACAGCAGCACTGGGGAGACAGTAGTGTTAGACTAACAGATTTAGATGGACTTGACTAACAAAGTCCAGCTAACACTTTTTAAGCAAACAGTGGTATTCCTTTTGGGATAAAGGTTTTAAGTAAACAAACACTGAGCACCCCTGTCAGTGGTGAATGTTTTTTCTCAACCCTCTAGCTGACACTTTTACTGGGCAGCCGATCTGTTAAAGGAAATTGAAAAATAACACTTACTGGCAGGATCAACAGGTGAAAATAAAGGAGAAAAAGAATAAAAAAAGAAAAACTAATGCTGTCACCAAATTTTAAAATAGAGCTAAAGGTAAAGCTTTTGCTCACGTTATATAGAGTAGGGGAGGGTTATAACTTTTGTCAGTTTTTTTTGCCATCTGTGTCCCATTGGGGAGATTTCCCTTCACCTCTTATCCCATAGGCAAAAAAGGAAGTGAAAGGAGATCCCTCCAAAGTGAGAAAATCCCTAGTTGTCACCAGAACTAGTGTCTCTATTGGAAGACTTTCCCCTCTATTCCTGTTCTGGTGACCTCCAAAAATTTGTGATTTTTTTTTTCACTTTAATTTTTGGTGTGATCGTGGCAAACAGGAGAAATAGAAAGTAACAGAGGAACTGACAGCAATAAAAACCTGACAGGTGTTCTAGTGGTCATAAAGAGTGGACTAGGAGTTGGTCTTCATGGCTCTCCATCACAGAATTTCCATCATTAGCCAATCGCAGTGATCATCAGATAGAATATTTGTTACTGTAATAAATTCAGCCTGCTGTGAGCAACAATAGAAACTCTGTGAAAGAGAACAAAGCTACAGTATAGGAATGCTGCTAGCAACCTCGGGTCATAGAGAGAGGACCAGGGACCATGATTACATGGGATTTAAAGGGTTAGTCCTCCCAAAATGACATTACACTTTTTGGTAGATGCAGGAAAGTAAAAGAATAAAAAGGGGAATTACTTCTATCTTTTGGTCTTTTGGGGACTGTTGATTAGATGCATTAGAGTTACCGGGTCTACACAATTGCCATAACCATTATAAAAGGGATCCAACTCTCGCAGTTGCATTATTTACTTTATATATTGGATAGTGGATCAGTAGAAGCCAGAACAAGCAAACATGGACAGGAACACCCAAGCTCTCATGTGGACAGACAGGAATTCTGGAAGAGAAATTTTACGGTTGGAATATCCAAGAGATATAAGACGCAAGGGGATGGTGCAGCCCACCAGGCTTTACCTACACCTACAATATATTTTTGGGTTAACTGATCCTTTAATCCAGCAACCTTTGCATCAGTCTGAATGTGAGTAGCTCATGTATGATGATACTTTTCTGTTCTCTTTTCAGTAAAGGGAAGGATCAGCACCACCCTAATTCTTACTGACAGTCCGAAGTCCAACTTTCTCACCCCTCATGTGGCCTACACCTAATCTGATAGAAGAAATGTAAAGTAAGAAGGTAAGGTACTGTATGTTGGCCATACACATATAGATTTTCACTTGAAATTTTTCGTTTTAAGAATATTCATTCAATTTTCTAATCATTAGTGAGGTCAAAGCAACCTTAATTTTCAATCATAGTTATGGGAAAATTCAAGAGAAGCAGAATAGAAAACTTTCCTCGATCGAACGAATGTTTGAACAGTGTATGTGGTTTTCGTTCAGAAATTATATTATTTTAAAATTGAATGTTAAAAGCATTGAAATGAAAGTGAAATTTTCGAATGACATTTGTCCATTATACAAAAGTACAAAACATTTTCGTATGAATATTCTCCTCCAAAAATATGCATATAGCCAGCATTACCTTTAGGTGTATGAATTACCTTCAATTGGGCAATTCATAGGCTAGAATGCTTACCGTTCTAATCAGGAACTGATTACAAAGAATAAGGTAAGCTCTATAGGTTTTTTTTTTTTTGTCCTCGAAAATTCATCTGATCATATATTTGATCCAATAATTGCATAGTTAGAAATAGATTTCACTTTTAATTGGTCCCATTCATTTTTAGCATAAAAAAACAGAGAAGCGTCAGTATATAAAATACCCTTTGTTGAATAACCTGGCATGTCTACTTTTCTCTTAGTTGTGCCTTTTTTGGGGCGTTTTTGATGTTTTGGTATTTCTGGGTCACCGTGGAAACAATATGGTATGAGAAAATGATCCACTGAAATTATGCAGTCTGAATGCCAGAATGTACACTGATAACTATAGACCCTATTAAATAATAATTGGTATTCTAAAGCAGTGTTTCTCAACTGGGGTTTCATTGAGCCATGATCCCACGTAAGGTGCTATGATCCCATGTGCTGTGATCCTATGTAATGTGCCCTGCTCTCATGTAATATACCCTGCCCCAATGTAATGTGCCCTGCTGCCTCCCATGTAGTGTGCCATAAAGACTCCCTGTGCTAAGCCCTGCTGCCCCCCTGCATACTGCTTATCTCAAGTTTGACCCAGAATTGAGCATCTGTGCAGAAAAAAAAGAGCACAAGTTTTACAATAAACAGGTATGTTTTCCTTTCAATACATTTTTATTGAATAATTGTGATATAAGAAAATACAAACTCAACCGCTGCCTTATGTGCCAACTGAAATATAACAATAGAAGGTAACAGTCAAAAGTGGCCGTGCGCAGACAAAACATAACTGTAGTAGGTGACAATGTAAATGACATGTCAGAAGAACAAGAACATCAACCATATTGTGTCAGTAAATCAGCGTAGGAAACAAAGAAAGGACTATGCCTGTAGCCTAGTGTCCGACAATGTCAAAGGGGTTATGGCATTTGAAATATACAAGTATGTAGTCAAGTCAAGAAATGCACTGAACACATCACAGATCGTAAAACATCCCTACGGGAGAGCCAGTAAAATGAACACAGAGAAAAAAAAAAAGGAGAGGAAGACAAGGAAGGATCGGAAGAAGAAAAAACATCAAAAGTGCTCAAATCTGGATTATGGGGCCTTCAAGGTTAAAGTGAAGTGAAATTATCTATTGGTAAAGCAGGATGGGCATGTCAGATCCATGGAGTCCATGTTTTAAGGAATCTTTTGTGGTGTGTCTGAAAGAATGCTAGACAGTTTATTTCATTAACCAGGAAGAAGTCAAGGTGGCAATGAAATTCCGAGAAGGATATAAACTGTTTCCAGGCTTTTGCTATGGTTTGTTTAGCCACCAATAGTTCCTGGGTAGCCAACATGAACTGGTGTTTTCACAGGCACGGGGGTGTAGAAGAACATACCATGGGTCTCTTGAAAAGGGGCAAGTTAATAATGAATGGAGGAGTTTTAAGACCTTCAAACAGAACCGAAAGAGCATAGGGCATGTCCACCATATGTGTAGAATGTCTTCCGGAGTATTACAGCCTCGAAAGGTATTAGGGGCAGATGGGTGAAGGTGCACTAGACGGGACGGGACCAAGTACCACCTTGTAACTGTTCTGAAGGCCGATTCCATTGTAAGAATATTGATAGAGCATGAGGTCAGGGTTGTCCACATCTGTGACCAGCAGCCCATATCTTTGGTGCTTTTAAGATTCCTTTCCCACCTGGAAACGTAAGTGTGGTTGTTGGGGTTCTGTAGATTAGTTAGCTGTGAGTAAATGATAGAAATAAGTTTGGGGGAGAGGGGCGTTCGATGACAGGTATGTTCAAATAAATTGAGCAGCCGGGTCTTTGTCAGCAAGGAGCAAGGTCACTGTCAAGGTCCTAACTTTCCTCAGGGTTTGTGCTGCTCCATGTGCTGGCATCCATCTTGGGTGTCTGATAAGCATTGTGGGATCCTTTATGCTCTCAGTCCTCTGCAGCTCCTCCCAGGAGGGTGCGGCTTATCACATTTAAGTCTGTCGGTTGCATCCGGTCTTTGCATTTGTGTCCTGTATGTTGCATTGCAGCAAGCTCTTGTTCAGCTCTCGTTGTTCTCCTGGAAACCGATTCGGCTTTGACAAAGACTCCTCTTGCTCTGACCCTTGGCCCGTTCTGACCATTCTCTGCTTGATTCCATTACCTGACCTCCCGTTGCTGAACCCGGCCCGTGACCCGAGTA